CATCATCAGGACTTGCCAGACAACTGGGTGATGTGTGTTTGCAGAGGCTACATTACAGGTTTCTGTACCCTGAAAGGTCCTCCCTGAAGAACCTGGGAAATTCTCAGGATGTTCAAGCTGTCCCTGCCCTGTGGTCCATAGCCTCCTTGTGTGAGCACTATCTCACACCAATCAGTTCCCTCCAGAAATGGGCATTTGGTGTTTCTTCTTTCATCCTGCAGTGCCCCACAGGGTTCTGGTCTTGGCACTTGTCCCAAGGACACTCATTTCATGATGTCCCGAGGGTTCCAGCTCATCTCCTGCTGGATCTGCCCTGAGTTCTTCCACAGGCCAGTCCAGGGCAACTCAGATGGAATCTGGTGGGTGTTCCTCGTTCCAACTCTCCTGGGATTGCTGAGCATCTTCCAAGCCTGCATCCCTGGACCTTAAAGACCTCCTCTGTCCAGGTCCTTTCCAAATTCTCACTTGGCTCTCAGGTATCTGGGGCCTGGGAGGGGGCATCCTGTTGACCATCCCTGCCATCTTCTACCTTCCTCTGCTCAAATTGCCTGTTTGGAACAAAAGGTCCAAGCTGGTTTTGTGGGTGATTGACAAGGCACCCTTGCCACCCTCTCTGCCCTCAGCCTCATCCTCAGACACCAACCCCTAATAATCACCTGAACAAGACCATCAGTTTAATCAAGCATTTGAGCATAACCATGGGAATTATTTGAAAACTGGTGGCCTGGTGCACAAATTCATGCACATTGAAAGGAAATTCATTAGAAGAAATATTTTAATATTGCTATTCGCCCTTTCTCTATAATAGAAGTGTCAACCAAATTCACAATTGACAGTGACAAATGGAAATACACGTGTGCAATTGGCCCCAGCGAGAGCTTTATATATATAGATAAACTTGCTTAATTAGACCTGTTTTCTAATTTAGCTAAACTTTTCCCAGCCCAGTGAAGCACCCCAACTTCTCTTTCAGATAACTGCCAGCAACACAGCAGTAAATATCAACATGAAGCAGATTATTATTGTAGATCACACAGGGAGAACAAAGGGTAAAATATTTACCTGCAGTACTATTTAACTATAGTCTGCGCAGTGACAAAAACCTGAAGTCATTTTCAAGGTCTGCCATTTCTTGCTTCTTTTAAGTTGGGTCAATTTCCAAGCTTTCTAAATCTCCCTTTTCTGGCTAATGAAAAGAAAATAGGATTCCACCGAGTCTCCAATCTACCTACTCCAGGACTTCTATGAGGATCAAATGAGATGAGGCACAGGAAAATGCTTCACAGGCAGTTGGTTAAAGTGTGCAATGTTTGCACCTGGCTATAAAGCAAGTTGTGTTCCTGGGCTGAAGAAACTGCAAGAAGGTTAGTTATCACTAGGGAGAGGAAGCTGGGTGTTGCTACGTGACATCATTACTCGGTTCCCACAGCCACCTTTTCCAGGCTGGGCTGGGCTGTGGGCCACATTTTTCACCATGGGGTCTCAGCAGCGTTGGTTGCAATTTGGTGGGGTGTTGCTCTGGGGTGGTGGCAGGGACTGTGTCCACTTGGGGGAAGCCGAGTGTTGCTTTGTGGGCGGCAGGTCTGCAGTGCCATTTCTCTGTAAATGGCCAGTGAGCATCACAGCAGCTCTTGCACTGAGTGTCTGTCCCCTGGTGGTCAGTGTGCATCGTAGCCACTGGTTAGATGGACAATTAGCATATTAGCCTTTTATATATATAGAAGATAACTTGCAGTCACAGTGATTAGTCACATGGTCACATGACAATGATTATTATTTATCAATCACTAGGGCACTCACCTGGAAGGTACCTCACATCCTGCCAGCTTTGCCTGAACCATACTGGCTGAAAGGGGATACTCTTCTGGGGCTGTCATGTGAAGATAACTGCACATGAACATCATTACTGGGGACACAGGCAGAGCAAAGCCCCAAGATGTGCAGACTGGGGCCACGGTGGAGAGACAGTGGACAGCAGTGGTGATAGGGGCAATAGGCAGGGACCCAGAAGGAGGACAGCACCATGCCAACAGGGCCAGCTGGCAGCTGGCCTCCTTATCACCACTCATCACAGCACTGAGGGGTAGATTGGAGCAGCTCAGGAGCCTAGGGGTGCAGGAGGCATGAAGGAATTCCTGCAGCCAGCTTCCAGTGGGCCGGCTCCTCTTTTGAACATCCCCATTCCTGCCCAGGGCCTTAAAGGCATACAATCTGGCATCTCACTTCTCAAGGGAAAATGTGCGTGGCTTAAGTCTCTGGGTGAACTAGAACACTGCTCTGTGTCTGCATTCTCATGGCCTGAGAATGAGTCCGCAGACCCTGTGCCGCCTTCTGTAGAAATTGCTGTGATAAACAATGCTGCTGCTCAACATTCAGTAGCAAAGGGTCATCACACAACCCTTGCTAAGTACAAGAGTACTGGCAATGCAGGGTCCCCAATCATTCAGGGAAGAGGAAAACAAGGTGAGGATGAGCACTTGACATCTCCCAGTCAACAGTTGCATGGTAGAAGCTCCAAAATGTAGTTGCTGTAATCTGTGGTGACAAAATCTCCTTCATTTCTGGGAGGACTTTCTCAGAAAGTCACATTTCCCTTGAAATTCTCCACCTTTTTCCAGTGACCCCATTACTGTGTGAAAGGTGCTTCAAATCCCCCATCACATGTAATTTTCAAATCATTCTACACATCTCAGCAGAGAAAGCTCACCCTCTTCATTCCAGAGGACCTTTCTGCACTTTCCATGGCAATACCCCCTGAAATCTCATGAGGCTGTGGATTTTCTCCTTTCTTCCTGTTCAAGATCACAATATCCATCTGTGAGTCTCTGCAGCCTTCCACATTTCTGAGTGTACATGAACAAGGAAACTGGTGTATATTGGATTTACAGTAGTTATTTCTAGTATAGTTTTGACCCCAGATGCTACCAATCTCTCTCCTTTGAAAATGTGTTTCTCTGGTCAAAGATCTCAGAGCCCAATTAGAAACTAAATAGTAAATGAGCCAAAACAGCTGCTTGGTGAAATTCCCTCCTAAAGGATAGACTATTCTTTGTGGGTGTGGACTCTCAAAAACAGGGTGCAATCAACACAAAGCCCCCAGAATTCCAGTCCAACACCAACTTCTTTCCTCTTTGCAGGAACCCTTCCATTAAAACCACCTATTTTCCTTCATGTCATCTCACTAATATCCAGCACTTGCTTATAGTTGGTGGAGGTAAACTGAAGGTAACTGTAATAAATTGTCAATTCAATGGAGTCAGCCCTGGCTTTCCCAGGCCAGAAAAAAAGAGTGCATGTCCAGTAACTTAGGGACATTGTTTTAGGGAGCAAGACCCTTATTGCTCAGGAAATCCTTGTAGTTAATGGCGATAAAACACTTATCTCTTCACTGTGTTCTTCTGAAATGAGACAGAAGCACAGGAAAGACACCCTTCCCTTCCTGACTGGGGTGGATTTTTCTCTCTGATTTATACATGATCCAGAAGGAAATTCAGAGCAATTCTCCATTTCAGACGTTTACATCCAAGATACACCATCTGCAGAGTCTAGACTCTAGCCACTGCCACCATCCAGCTTCTTTACAATCAACCCCTACAAGGGAAACACAGCTTACCAAAGCCCCAAACTGTCCTGGCTCAAGCCATTTACACTTGAGTGCTGTCCCCTGGAGCCCCACTGCCTCTCACCTTCTATTACTTGTTCTATAGAACTTAGGGGACACCTCACCACTTTCCTCACATGACTGTGGCTCCTAAACTATCATCCTGTGGGTGGGTGTACCCTGCTTATGTTGGTGTCCCCACTACTAACACAGGATCTTCCAGAGGACATAGGCTCAGTCTGGGGATTAAATGAACCACTAAACCATCTTTATTCAGATTAAATCCCTCCATTTTCTTGAATGAACCAAGCAAATCCAAGGATCCTTATACAGTTTGTTTCATAGAAAGACAGACAAAAAATGGATCAGAAGTAAGAATTAACAACCTTTTGCTTTTATTTTTGTTTCTTGAACCCATTGTTTGTACCGATGAGGTCTTTCACATTTCCAAGGAAATCTTTTTCCAATGCCATATTATCTAGTTTGGGATCACAGAGTAGGATGGAAAGTGTCTTAATTTGTGTTACACAATAGCAAAACTCTTTCTTTTGAACTAGATAGTACAAATAAATGTATGGTCAATGTCATTCACAAACTTAGAAACTGAAGCTTATGAAACGTCTATGGAAAGGAACAACATTTGAAAATTTCGACACAAATCAAGGATAAATTTCTAAACCCAAAGATACTACAGCCCTTATTCCTCCAACTTTCCCTGGGCCTCACTACCTAGAATGTTGACTACCCTCTTCTCAAACACAGTGAAGAATTGGCCTCACATCATGTCAGATGTGGGCCTGAAACATGCCTGGGGGAAACCTGGCTCAGGCTCCCTCTTCCTCATCACTCAGAGCCTCTTGAAACAGGGATGGGACAGACCTGGGATCCTTTCTATAATCCCTGAGAAAAAACTTGAGGACTTTCAACTTGGTGGTCTCAGCGTGGGCCCTAGGGCCCCACAGGAACTCATAGCGTGCAGGATCACTGTTGGGCACCTGTCGGTACTCCAGGTACTTTTCCTGCACCCAAACTTTGGTGAGGAGCTCCCTGGGCTCCCCATAGATCCAATGCTCCTTCCCATCATGCACCCCCATGACATGCAGTGCTTCCCAGACATTCTCCTCAGGGGCACAGTCGCCCTCTGCAAGGATCAATCTCAGGAGCATGACCAGGAGGCCAGTGTTGGGCATGGATTGCCCACTGGACACCATCCCATCATATGTGAGCCCCAAAGTGGTGACCAGGACATAGGTGAGGTTGCTGGGGTCCACTTCCTTCACATCAATGCCAAAGAGGAGCTGCATGCATTCAGAGGCTAGGCTGAAGATCTCAGGGAAGTGGTCCTGATACTTTCTTATGACTCTACTCAGCATTTCTGCCTTAGTAGTTGGCTGCTTTGCACGATACTTCAGGAGTAGAAACTCCACCAGTTCAGTCATCTTCAAATACAGGGCATCATGGAGTGACGACTCAGCATCTCCAGAGTCCTCTCTGCTGCTTGTCTCCTGTTCATCTTGGCTGCTGAAGCCCTCATCTTCAGACTGGCTACACACAGGGGCCGCCATGGCAGAGGCAGAGTCAGGAACCCAGAGGGCTCTGGGGAGGACTTGGTGTCTCAGCAGCACACACCTTCTCTAGGCTGCGTGGGAACAAGGCAGAGAGGGACAAAGATAAGGAGACAGACACAACCAAGTCCTCATTCCCAAACAGCTGCACTTCAAACAGGCTTTGATTCTCCCTTGAGTCCTGATGGTCTTCCTTGAGATTACAGAGATCCCTTTCTAACCAAGAGGCATGATGACTCGTGTTGGGCGTCAACCAGACTGTGGGCAGGAGATGGGCCATGGGGAACAACCAGTTGGATAAAGAGAGGGAATCTGAGGCCCTTGCTGGATGGTTCAGTGGTTAGAGGATTAGCCTGCCCACCAGAGCATTTAATTCCTGGTCAAGAGCATATATCTCAGTTGCAGTTACAATCTCTGCTCCAGGCCTGGACGCTTGTGGTAGGCAACCAATCAATGTGTCGTTAACACATCAATGTTTCTCTCTCTTTCTCTCTCTCTCTACCCCCTCCCTTCCACTCTCTAAAAATCAATTGGGAAAGTATCCTCAAGCCTCCTATGAGGATGAAAAAAGAAGAGGGGGGATGTGAGTATCCTCAGCTGAGAAACACACCCTCAGTGGCTCTGAAAATGGAGACTGTTAGGGCTACTCTATAAGGGTGTTCTTAGGTCTCACAGCGGTCTCTCCTCCTGGGCAACTTTTCCCCTAAGATCCTGAAGGTGAAAGTAAGAAGACTCCTCAGGGTGCAGCTAGCACATTTAGAGATACTGGGTCTGACAGTGGTCCTGTAGGGTGGGGTGGTATAAAGTCTCTTTATGGGGGAAGGATCCACTGAAGGCCTGCTTCTCCCACCCCACCCCCTGCTTTCCTGAGATCACACTCTTACAACAAGAACACACATCCCTAAAACTTAAGAGAAGTGAGAGGTCCCCATATTTCGAAGCACCTGTATAGGGGCTTATCATTGCCATCAAGGGACAACAATGTGTGGCCATAATCTATGGGTTCCACATGTCCTGGTATGAAGGGTTCCCTCAGTCCTCACCATGGTCCCTTCTGGGGCCTGGCTTCCTGCCTCACCTAGCTTGAGTCCAGATCAGTAGATCAAGGCCCTGCCATTCCTGGGTCCATGGAGGTGAAAATGGAAAGAGGCCCAGCCTGAAAGCCCTGAACATGGTTTCCAGGGCTGACAATAGGCAAAGACAAGATTTTTTGGGGGGGCACCCACTTTGTTCTGGAGATTGGGCTATACTCCTTCCACCTTTAGGGACCTCACCTTGACTCTTGGCAGGATGTAGGACTCTGCTCTCAGTTGAACAGGTGTACTTCCTCAAATGACCTGATGTTGTCCTCTCAGACCAAGGTCCTCACCTCCCTAAGAGACTACAGAACAAAGTGAGACAGTTTCATATCCATGCCCCAAATCATCCCTACCCCTGTCAACATCACAAAAGTCTAGCAGCAGAGACAGGGCTCTCTATCCTGGTTGGATTGGCCAAGTACCCCTGTAGATTATTCACTTTTACTCTTGCCAGGACCTGCCCTTCTTCCAGGCCCTCCTCTTGGAACTCTTGATCTCTCCCACCAAAACCTCTCCTCTTTGATGACTCCCCACTTTCCTGTCCATGATAGAAAAGAGAATGCCACTTAAAGCCAACATGCTTCTTTCAGGTCTGAGAACAGGGATCATCTGGACTTTGTTTCATCCTTCCATTTCTGAGAAGTCGGTGCACATTCAAGTTTCACAAAAGGTCAGCACATTGTCACCTGGAAGATCGTGAGACACTTCCCTCCTTTGACCTCATATTTTTCTCAGACCCAGGTCCTCACAGATCAAGGCCTCTCATAGACCTCAAGTGAAGTCTGTGGATATTACATCAGGCAACCAAGCCAGGGGAGAGCCAGGCTACCAGCAGGGGACTGAAAAATTCCTTGGAGTGTTTAACCCTTCCTCTCATCCTCACCTTGTTTCCAGGTAAAGACTGGGCCATGACTACAAACCTCAGTTTGCTCCTTTCTGACCTTGTCCTTGGCTCCAGAGTTCTCTGAAGTGGTGGGGGCTGGTGGTTTCTGGGAAATGGTACTCAGCCAGACAACCCAGCCTCCAGGACTCAGGGTGCTGACAGCAGAGGCAAATCTGGATTCTGTGGGAGCCCCCAGTCCTCTTTTAGGGCAATAACTTGATTCTATGAAAGACTGGGCCTCTTCCCTCTATGGGCCTGTAGCCAGCCTCCCTTATGTGGCCCTCACCTCTCTCAGACTTCCGGGGTGAAAGTCAGTGACCATTATTTATGAAAGCATTCATGGCGCCTACCAGGGCTAAAACCAAGAGTGAGCTTTTGTGGGGCCTCTAGTTGGGGGTTCCTGGGTCCACTCAGTCCTCCCTCCAGGTCCTCATCTTGATTCTGGCAGGCCCTGGATCCTCCCTCTTCATATCCGAGGTCCTGTTCATTATAATAAAACCCAGAGTTTCATGGGCCCAGATGTGAAGCCCTGAAATACCACTTGGCTTGGGGAAGCATCTCTATGCTCTGTTCTGTGGACCTGAGGCCCTACACTTTTTAAAAGTTTTTATCTTTATTGTTGAAAGTAGTATAGATGGGAGAGTCAAGATGGCAGCTGGTAGGATGGTAAGGAGGGAAGAAAGTGTGACTGAGTGAATGAGTGAGCAAAATGGGAGAGTGTGGACGTGGTGTGTGTGTGTGTGTGTGTGTGTGTGTGTGTGTGTGTGTGTGTGAGTCAGGGACAGTTAGATCCTGCCGGAGTCTCGGGGGCTGGCAGACCAGGCTATAATAGATGGGAGGGACACTGCTACCCCTGCAAGCACTACTGGGTGGCTGGCTCTGGCACAGAAATGACACATCTTGAAGGGAAGAGCTTTTGTGACTAGGAGCCCAGCCTTACCACCACCCAGACTGGCCTCAGACACCATACAGGACCCTACAGCCACTCCAGCCAAAGACCTGTTACCTCATCTG